AATGCTAAAACAATATAATTACCAAAATAGAATATCTTTCCACTAGAATATACACGCACAAGGTGAGTTTAAAGTAGTGACGAAATACGAAAATCGAAATAGGGCTTGAGTAACTAACTTTGGATGGCTATAATTTTCACTCCGGTGAATGGTTTTATTTTTTGGTAATGGCATATTTTCGGTAAAATCTGCAAGCGCATATGATCGTTGACAAGTAGTAGTTGTGCGAGTAAAAGTATTATCCCACGAGTAATAAACCTTAAATTGACCCCTTGTTTGACAACCATTATTTGGTTAAAATATAGTTTTGAATAGTGATTTTTTTTTTTTTGAGAATATGTGGTTAAAAAGTAGGGGAAAGTTTTCGGTATACGTGAAAAATATTTTATTGTGTAAATGTGTAATTAAAAATGAGTATGTAGAGAACAGAATTGAAATAATAATTGTCGAATATGGGCTAAATTGTATTAATTCGTTGTCAAATTCAAACGTGACCATAACAAAGATTTTGAGATGTTTATTTCTAAAGTTATCCTAATTATAATCGAAACTTATGGGAAATCTATATGTGAGAATGACGTGTTGGGATTCCGAATCCACCTATTGTTATTTTATTTCAATTCTCTATATATCTACTTTATCTAGTGTAATTTGTGTATCATTGACAACTGTTATATCAATTATATTCAACTATTTCTCTTAATGTAAACCAAACCTATTTCTAAGCATAGCCCGATAATATTCCTATCTCGAATTCATAGGCAAAATAATCCATTCATCTACACCATTATCTATTTGATTGCACAAGTCTTAAACTATAGGTCATAAACAATTATTCCTAACGCTTATTAATCCATTCATCTACGGATTATCTATGTAATTGCACAAGTCATAAACTATTATTCCTTACATTTACTGAATCTTGTGTTGATATTACATTATTCTAGACTTATCTTGAACCTCTCAAAAACAAAACAAACAACTAATTATTTAGATTCATGCAGCTATAACAAGAAGAACATTCACTTTTCAATCCTTAAAGTTTTTTCCATTAAACACACTGAGTTGTTGCCAAATATTGTAGAAGCAAATGAATTAACTGAATAGATAACAAAACCAAAATAACATGTTCACATGAAAATCCATATTAAACCATCAATAAATTCAAATAATGATGGCCACATCACAAGAGATTGAATACAACATTAATATTTAGTCTTTGAACAGAACTATCAACTTGTAAGTGGTACTCCTGGTGTAATAATCAAAGCTTGACAATAAACTGCATCAAACAATGAATTTGTCTTTGAACCGACTTATTATTCACATAAAAAAAAAATGTATATTTGTCATGTATTAATTATCACATGTGTGCATGTAATGCGGCTAAACATTTACCTTCTTTTAGGCTAGTCAATATCTACCTGAATTACATGCACACGACTATTTTAATATTTCAAATGAATCAATTTATACAAAGGAGGTTACTTTGGGAGCATGTTGTTTCAACTAATCTATTTTAGAGTATTAAACATTCGAAAGAAATTAATTGCACCAAAATTTGAATTTGATTATCACTTTAAATTTTATGCCAAATCTGTCCAAATGAACACGCTGCTTGAGCGCTAGTTGAGCATCAAAATTGTTGCTTGAGCGCCATTCTGCGCTAAGTGAGAGCCTGAGTTCCTGCTTCTAGTTCTCGAGCATTAGCCTCGTTGTTAGCGAGCGCTAACTTTGCCGTTCGATTGCCAACTGGCGCCTAGCCAGCTGTGCAGTCGCTATTCTGACCACTCAAGAGCCAACTTGGCGCACAATGAGTAGTGACAGCGCCACAACAGTTCTATAACTGCGAAGAATTTTCTCAAAAATCCAAAATTCGAAATTCAAGGATAAAATTCGCATCCCAAAATTGAAGAATCCATGTACGAATTTGATCCCTTAAATTCTTTATTGATTCTCAATGGTTTAACATTGAGTTGGTTCAAATACCACTTGTTGTAATTAAAAAATTTACGAATATTGATTTAGAAATACCAAAATCTTCCATATTAAATCACCAAGAGAATTAAAAGGTGCGGAACATACCTTGATCCTTTGGGAATTGATATTGATTGCTTCTTTTTGATTATGGATCTTAAATTGCGAGTTATTGCTTCTAGATCTTAATTACTTGTTCTTAATTCTTGATTGTAGGTTCTAGATCTTCTTCCTCGATACACTTTCTCTTTATATTATTGTGTTGATATATTTATTAGATAACTTTAAATTAGGCCTAATCTTAAGATAGTTTTTAATATACAATTAATTAGATATGTAGACTCACATGACAAATTAAAACCCAAAAATTTCATCTTTCCTTTCGATGTAACTTATGGTTTTTATCATTTAATTCTCCTAGAGAGAAATGAAGTGGTCAACAACGTTGGTTTTTATCATTTAATTCTCCTAGAGAGAAATGAAGTGGTCAACAACGTTGCTACACTTTTTCATGTTGATTGGCTTTGTAGACGGTAGATTATTGTACCCCTTATTTTCTATCACCCGTTTAGGACAATATGATTAAGCTCCCGTTTGTACTCAATTAAAATTTTAATGCATCTTTCTCCTTTTTTTTCAATTATACATTTTCCAATAAAATAATATTACACATAAATGCAAAACTTAATTTCCTTCTTTTTTTCATCCTATATTCTTTAAAAAATCAATATTTAAAAATACATTTTTTTTCCAAAATTTAATTTTAATGAAGCCCGAACAAGAGCTAAGTATAATTGCTTCAAGCTTCAAAAAAAAAAAAAAAAGAAAAAAAAATTCATTCATGCTACATGTATATCATTTTTTACATTATGTCAAGTAGCAATACACTATTGGATAGTTTAATTTTTTTATAATTTTTTCACTCAATGAATAATTGTCAAACACTTGTTATGTCAATCAAAGAGGTACATACATGTTGCATTTTTCAAAAATATTTTGTGTCATTTTTTATAATTGAGTTATGCAACATGTAAAAAGTTGGTTGGCAAAATAATATCTATACCAATTATTTTAAAAACAAATTTTTAAATTATTTGAAATCAACGGTCTGAATTTTGTCAACACACTTTGTAACTCAACTTTGTAAAAATAATTTTAATCCATGTTTGAGCCACATTATTTTTTTCATTTACATTCTTCTACTTATTTTTAACCACACATGCTTCAATAAAATAATATTTTTCATCACACCAATAACTTTTACTTCTTTTTTTCAACCACATATTCTCCATCATATCATTAGTAAAAATGCATTCTTTTTCAAAAAANAGTAAAAATGCATTCTTTTTCAAAAAATGTGCACCAAACGGGACTTATTGTAATCTAAGTCATGGTCCAAGTTCCATTGACTACAGGCTGTGGTCAAGTAGCCATATAATATTTTGACTCAAGAAACCTCTCAACCTGAAGCGTAGAACATAGGCTGTGGTCACCAAAAAATATTAAAAAATATCACTGGGAAATATCTGTATCATTATCAAAACCATTACAACAAGTAATTTCTGATCATAACTAGTTGCTTACCTTGTAATACAAACTAACCAAATACCAAAAAAAAATAATAATAATAATAATAATGAAAGCAACTCCTATGTATTATTTAGCCCATGTTCGGTATTTTAACATAAATCCATTTCAGCGATTAATTTTAAACACATATTTTATGTGATCCACAACTTTTAAATTACATATTTCATCAACTTTTATCAAATTTTTACTAAAAATTTAATTTTAATCCCCCACCAAACAAGGGTTTAATTTCCTTCTGTATGGACTAAACCTATTATCAAGAAAGAAAATAGTTAAACATTTATTGCGCAATACCACATTGTTCTATAGCCCCATAAAAGAGAAGAAAATCAAAGGATCGAATAAATCTATTATAACATTGAAAACTAAAGCAAGCATATCTACATATATCGAATTTACCATCAAAGATATTTAGCGTCGATGGTCGATTTTTTATGTTCACATTTTGATGTAAGTCAATAAAAGATTTATTAAAGCAATGTTGGATTTATTGACAATTTGATATTTTTTTATAACATTCCGTACTTATTAGTAAGTTTACTTATTATTACTATTTGATTTACAAGATAATATATGATACTGATAATAAAGTTAACGTAAACGTGGTGATGACGAAATAAGTGATGGAATGGTTGAGTAAGATTAAAATAACATGGTCCAATCAAATTGTGTAGGAAAATAAGGACAAATATTTTAGGGATTCTTACATTTGTAGCTTGGTCTTCACTTTGTGGAATCTATAACATTACGACAGGCATTGCAGTTCATCTGTAACTTTCATAAACCAATGGTGGGACCTTGACTATTACACAATCCACCATATTATAATTTCAAGAAAAAGAGGTAGAAAATGTTGGATGTTCAATCTCGTCCGATTTTTTTTTTTTTTTAGGTTAAAGAGAACACTATAATGTATTTAAATATTATTTTTAACGCGTAAAATGTCTTGTATGTTGATACATACTTTTTTTTTTTTTTTTAATGATTGAAGATTAACTTAGAATATTCACCTTAAGCATTTAAAGACCGATGAAATTGATCGTTTAAGTATGGGCTAAAACAATGTTAGTAATAAACTTATGGTGACGTTTTATGTTAGTCATAGACTTTTATTTTGTTTCAAAGCTTAATAACTTCCAAAAAAAAAAATTAAGCAGATGTATTGTCGACATGGAAGTCTTCCACGTCACACATTCTATTAGAAAATGTAACGGAATTTTACGAAAATAAGTAGCGAAGTTGTAATTATTTTGAAACCAAAAAAACTCTGGGACTAGAATGATACTTTGCTGTAAATTGAGTGACTATCTGGGTTTTGAAAAAGTTGAAAACTTTTTTTAACGTGGGTTGGTACTTCGTAGTATTTAAGGGTTGGTTGGGGACCTCAGAGTTTTAGCAAGTTTTATAGGAGACTTGTAATAGCGGTGCTAGTGATGGGCAGGCAACCTTGTTGTGACAAACTTGAGGTAAAAAAGGGGCCATGGACGGCGGAGGAAGACAAGAAACTCATTAGTTTTATACTCAGCAACGGCCCATGTTGTTGGCGGGCTGTGCCAAAGCTGGCGGGGCTGCGGAGGTGCGGCAAGAGTTGCCGGCTGCGGTGGACCAATTATCTCCGCCCTGATTTGAAGAGAGGCCTTCTTAATGAAGCTGAGGAGCAATTGGTTGTTGATCTTCATGCCAGTCTTGGCAACAGGTATATCAAATGTACATGTATATTTGAATTATTCGAGTGTTGTTTAGGTCAGCTTTCTTTCGTTCTCCCGGTGCACTCGATGCACATAGCCTCTCAATCAGAACACTTTTTAAAGGTACGAAGTCATTTTTGAAGGAAATATTATGCGTTTTCAGAGATGTTGTGTTAACATTACCTGTTGATCGGTGGCTTTGCTGGTTTTTCCCTTTTTCTTTTCTATGTTTGTCATGTGTGTTGTAAACAAGAACCACCTCGATCAAAAGTTTTAGTTATTAATTAAATTTGATTTCCAATATGCATCATCATGTGACCAGATTCAATTTTTTATCAACATGATGTGCAAAATTTTCATAAATAGGTGGGACAAGATTTGAATTCAAGATGTTTGCTATATCCCTTGTTGAACTATTTCTTCTAAAAATTTATTTAAGGCGTCTAGTTAAATTTAGTCTTCGAAAAATATATAATTACATATTCAGTGCGTTGAATCTACATGAATAAATATGAAATTGATAAACTTTATTTACGTGTCTTTTTTTAAATATTATTTAATCTTGTTCAATCAAGCGTCACAAATTCGTGCTCAATGGAGTTTCAAATATTATATTACAAAAATATAAAAAACAATAAAAAATTACTATACTATATTATTTCAAACACATGAATTTGGGCTCATTAAAATTAACTTTGAGAAAAAATGTATTTCGAAATAGTGGTTTTCTCAAGAATGTGCGGTTAAAAAAAAGGAATTTTTTTTGGTTTACGTGTTATATTATTTTATTGAAAAATGAGTGTTTGAAAAGAAGAAAAAATGTATTAAAATCTTAGTGGAGCCGAAACAAGGATGTGTGCTAAAAACATATAAATAATAATTGAGTTTGCATGTAACAAAGCCAATGAAATAATAATGAGAAATGATGTTCAGTTGAGTGATAAATAAGTGGATAGTATTTGTGGAATTTATCAGTATATATAAATTGTTTATAAATATGAGTCAAACATATATACACACTTTATGATAGAAAATATTTCTTATAACAAGCATTGATTTCTTCTACGTTATAGATCGAATTATCGATCACGTATCATTAACATGTTTTCGATTAAATAGGTGGTCGAAAATTGCTGCAAGATTACCTGGAAGAACAGACAATGAGATTAAAAATCATTGGAATACTCATATCAAGAAAAAGCTTCTGAACATGGGAATTGATCCTGTTACACACGAACCCCTTCGCAAGAAAACTGAAACTCCATCTGCTAAAGATAATTTGGCTGATTTTGTTAAACATCTGCCCGTGTTACCAGAAACCAATGGCTCTGATGAGAACTCGTGCTCGTCGAATGAAAAGTGTGATAGCAATATGTTTAAAAATGATCCATTAATAAGCAGCCTACTGGTAGATGATCCTGATATTCATCAAGTAGATGTCCCTTGGGAATTCCCATCTGGTGAACAGATCTTCGACAGTGTTCCATGGGACGATAACATCTCGTCGCTGTTGGATTTTCAAGGTTTTGACTGTTTCGGTGACGTTGAAATGAATTCTTCCAACTTGTTAGAGCTGCGACATGAACAGTGAAAATGTGCACAGGGAAATATTTCAGACTTCACAATCTATAAGAACTTTTAGCGATGAAAACTTGTTTGAAGATCATTTTTCGACTTAACAACTCAAAAGTGACTTCTTGCAATGAAAAAATCGTCGTTGAAAGTGAAACTTTTTTCGTTGACTTCATTGATGCACATGTTACAAACTATATCATGTGTGTAGTGAAGTTAATTAAATTTGTTTATATATTATGTTGTTAGAATATATATCCTTGGTGGATTTAAAAGGTTTATCACCAACCAAATTACAGAGCAATACTATAATTATAAACTTCTCCAAAAAAAAAAGTAGTATTTCTTATGTAAATGATAGCGCACGAACAATGTCAATGTGAATATAAAACATTTTATAAAGTATGTATTCATGTGAATAAAAAGAATGGAAAATTGTGGAGGCCATATGTGGAGTTAACCTCGGGTAGAAAGTTGGTCCTAATTTTTGGATTCTATAGCAAATTCGTACATGATAACGTTAGTGTGGAGGTACAGACACTTGCGTATTTGGAATGCTTGGATGGTCGGTGTTCAAAAAAAGGCGTAACTTTTGCATACAGTATCCGTTTTAGGCTCATGACCCCATTCCAGAAAGCTCGTGACGATTCCTATTGAACTCACCGCTTTGCCGTGATGTATGATGAATTTTGGACGTTTGAATTCATTTACTAAATCAAAACGGCACTTAATGTTTCTTAGTTCATTATTTTCAGTATTTATTTATTTTGTTTTGTAACCCAATCCATTATGGGATTGCTGACCCAATAGGTTATCTGTTCATTTCATATTTAAGACTCTAAAACGTCTTGTGGGGTTCTTTGGTCGTTCTTGAAATAAGAAAAGGTGTTTGTTTTCTTAAGTGCGATCAATTTCGAGTTGTTATTATTGTGTTTGTAGATTCGAACTATATCATTACATAACCTCTAAAACATAGCATTTTAATCTCAACATTATACAAATAATCTTAATAAATGGATTCATTTGTATATAAAAAAGTTAAAATTTTATTCAAAGATCGTTTTAATTTTTTTTTAATTTAAACAAGAAATATAAAGAAAATAAAATGTAAAAAAATAGAAAGGAAATCTAGGGCTAACTGTACAAACCTGTAAGTTATTTCCTTCAATTGCACCAAGATCGGGGCTCAGTTAACTAATCAAACGACCAC